TTTATGGAATACATTAGAATTTATCTTTTTCTATTTATCTTTTTTTTCTTTTCTGTTATGTTTTAATGAAATATGAAGAAAACTAAAGAATGTTGCAAAAGAAAGAAGTGATTCTAATGAACAAACGAGTTTATCAACTTATCACAAGAACTAATAAACGCCGAGTTTTCTCCAATTCAGGTTTCATTTCTTATCATTACTTTTTAACAACAATATGTGTTGTTTTTTAGTACAATCACAACGATTTGTATTTGTAATAGTTTCATAACAATCACAAAGAAATTCCTTCTGCTCGACAGATGGGTCGAAAAGAAAACGATCAAACAAATAAGTAAAAAAAGTGGCTAGTTTACAGTTAAGCTTCTGGTTGGATTTTTATCTGCTTGCCAGTTAATATGAGCCGGCAGAATGATGGATTACAGTGAGGACCTAGTCGACAACAAAAAGGGAATTCAACTCGGCGAAGACATTAATCATCAGAGTGGCAGTTTGTAAGACAGAGGCTCTGCTTATTGGTCGTTTTGTGTTTTACAGCGCTCCCAAGTGTCAAGCTAGCTTAATTACTCGAAACTGCAATGACGGATCATCATGAAATTGTGCAAATATACCCAGTCACCCTTGGCCGGTTATGAACTACGAAAATGCATTAATAGAAGAGGCTGTCATTTTGGTAATCTGAAGTTCTCAGAATACTTTTTTTTCCTTGGAAACGTTAAATTTTCCCCGTTAATTCCTGCACCTTCGTAGTTTTCCTCTAACCCAATGCAAGATTGATATGCAAATAAGAGGATTCTCTCGGACTATGTATTTTACCCCTTTCAGACCTCTACCTTTTTCGTCTCATTAAGCCCTTCATTAATGTCAAACTACAGAGTACGTCATTAAATAAAACGGCAGTGTTCTAAAGATCGACCATATATCTCTCATTGGTCCTCTTCTGATACACTGTAAAAGTGAAAATGGGCTCCTCCCGGAAAACAAACAACATGCAGACTTTTGTACCTCTTTAGACACAATACCAAAGGGCACTAAAAATGATAAAGTTATAGTAAACACAGAAATATGTGTCTAAAGACTGATCAAGTTATAGTAAACACAGAAATATGTGACTGATTAATAGACAAAAACTTTGAAAGAGCGAAGAGCAAATGATTTTTATTGATTTAAGCCTCCTTTGGAAAAATGAAAAGATGTTTTAACGTTTTCATTAAGTTGATGATCCAGTGTTGGCGCGGTCAATGAATTCAAACATCACGTACAGTGATTAATAAAAGGAGATTGTCCTAACGTGTGTTGTAGAAAGTGTACTCATTATTAGTATTTATGAAGAACGTATGAAATATTACAGTTTTTCTGATTTTGTAACGGTTACTGTCTGAAACTGATGTAGGGATTAAAAGATAATAACAGTAAATATACTGTTGTTGCTTCATTTTGTAAGTTTCTTATCGTTTATAAAAATTAAGTTAGGGCTACATATATATCTGTTTTACAGTTGTTTGTCGGTAGTAAAAATGCTTGTAGTTTTTGGGTGAACTTGCTTGGGTATTAATACCTGTATGGTATGGTTGTCAGGGTTGTAATACGTATGTTATGTGGTTGCCTGGGCGACACTATTATGCTTAAGAATTGTTAAGGTGACAATAGAAATGTTTGATATTGTCAAATATATATATATATATATTTATATGTTTATAAACTTACCGATTTTTGAATTGGCGTTTACGTGATAAGTTAATCCGAAGATAATATTTTAGTCAAATTAGCGTTTATAATCATAATAATATTTACGTAATAAATGAATTCGAAGAAAATATTTAGTCAAACTAACGATTATAATTATAATAATATTTGTAAAATCTACAATTTAGGGCTAAAGTGGATCTTAACGGTCTACAACTCTGTGAGTTAGAACGCACCGTCTACCTGAGACCCGTAGCTTCATTTTAGGTATTAAGGATTAGAAAGATCCAAAACCTGGTGTAAAAATGGTGAATAGAACTCCTAGGATTTGGCTGGTTTAATTAGCAGAATACCGTTTTTTTGTTTGTTTTTTCTAAACCGTTCACTACCGGTTGGATTCACGTGTTATATCATACTGAACAATTGTACATTTTGTTTGGGTGAAATCACTCATTTTCTTCGTAAAATACAGTGAAAATGAATTATTTTACATTGTGGGATTAATTACAATATTAATCATACCTTATTTAATTTTTTTGTGTTTGTTTGTTTTAGAGCAAAGCCACAATGGCTATCTGCTGTTTCTACCGTGGGAAATCGAACCCCGGATTTTAGAGTTGTAAGTCAATAGACTTGCTGCTCTCCCACCGGAGGGCAATTTTTTGGTGTGCCTCACATGGTATTAAGGTTAATTTCATTTAGGTATTCCATAACTAACAAGTTTGCCGATTCAAAATCAGTTTCATGTATAAATGGAACTCCACTGCTAATTCTAGGGTTAACAATTTATTGGTATAATACAACTAACGATTTCTAAAAAATAAAAACTGATCCCCCTTAGCCTTATCTTCTACCGATTCGTTTCAGTGAATACAATTTTTCAGATGAAAAAAAATTAACGGCGTATACTACGTCATCATTATTAAAACGAATAATTTTAAACATTTACCATGTAGAGACATAAATAGATAATTGATGTATGTGAAGTCCCCCCCTTCTCCACTCATTGCTCTAACCTTATCTTATCCTCATCATTATTAAAACGAATAATTTTAAACATTTACCATGTAGAGACATAAATAGATAATTGATGTATGTGAAGTCCCCCCCTTCTCCACTCATTGCTCTAACCTTATCTTATCCTCATCATTATTAAAACGAATAATTTTAAACATTTACCATGTAGAGACATAAATAGATAATTGATGTATGTGAAGTCCCTCCCTTCTCCCCTCATTGCTCTAACCTTATTTTATCCTACAAACCTTGGAGGAGGAGATTCTAAAATTCAATGCATATATCATAAGTAACTTTATTGGTTGAGACTATTTTGTGACAGTAGTTATAAAGTTTCTTATAAACACAACCAACCATACCTAGATTAACTGCTCAAGAATGTTTTATTCTATTTTTGTTATGATCTGTTTCGTTCACTTTCATTACAACCTATTTCTTAAGACTTTATGAATAAAAGCCTAATTTGTCTAGTTTCGTTCCGTCCGATGAACTAAACCTGATTTTATTCATTTTCTCGTTTCGTCCAGTTTCGTTACGGATTTTTTTTTGTCAGTTCCATTACCTACAAAGCTAGTTACATCAGTTTCATGACTTTCGGTTTCGTTACTTTTACTTCATTTAGTTTAACGTATAAAATAATGTGATAAGAGAGAGTATGTAATAGTGTATTTGTTTAACTTTAGTATCATTAACACTATTTTGTAGAAAATAGATACAAATTAAGCTGTCAAGTCTTTATGAGATCGATCAGGTGTAGGACCCTAAATAGAGACCTAAACGTTGTCAACTTCTAAACCTTAGAAAGGTATAGTTCATTGAAGAATTAATATCTGACCTTCTTTCTTGGGGCACAGCATGGCCAGGTGGTTAGGGCGCTCGACTCGCGGGTTCGAATCCACGTCCCACCAAACATGCTCGCCCTTTCAGCCGTGGGAGCGTTATGATGTGACTGTCAATCCCACTATTCGTTGGTAAACGAGTAGCCCAAGTGTTAGCGGTGGGTGGTGATGAGTAGCTACCTTCCCTCTAGTCTTACACTGCTAAATTGGGGACGGCTAGCGCAGATAGCCCTCGTATAGCTTTGCGCAAAATTAAAACAAAATAAACTTCTTTCTTGTCATATTTGTAAATTAACTGCTTTCCGAGAGTTTTTCTCATCTGCTTCGGTGTCAGTACCTATGTACCTTTCTTCTAATACTCGTAACTAGTCGCTTTGCAAGGATTTCATGTCAGCTGTTGCCCAGTCCACAGAAGATTCAGCGTCAGTAATACTTGTAACTCGTCGTTTTGCTCGAGTTTCGCCTCACTTGCTATCCAGAAGATTCAGTGCCAATACATCTGTATCTCTGTAGGCACTGTAACTTAGTTGGTGTATGATTGACGAAATTTCACCCATCTTATGTGATCCTGCGGGTTTAATCAGGTTACACATGATCCAGATACGTGTGTTGTTAACTGAGAGAACTTACACTTTAATGTTAACAATAAAGAAGGCTTAACCTGGTGAACAGAGCTACGCGTGACCGCCACAGGAACAAAAGTGAAGTTCCATGCTTTTCAGTGTTGTACCACTCCTGTTGGAACTGCTACGTTATCAAGAGGATTAAAACAAAACTAATCCGTACGTTATAATTTATCGTTTATATGTATATATCAGGAGATCTGAAGAATGCTCGTTTTCAGCTCCATCTTGATATGAAGTGAAAACTTGCGGTGGCTGCCCATAATAGATCCTGCTAGTATGAAGTAAATAGGTCAAACTTTATAAGAACGATTTATATATGCTAATACAGTGATGTGTCGTCTCAGAGACGACTCCTGGCCCCACAGGCGCCACGTATAGCATCCACAAACTTAACCCAGGGCTTAATTCAGTGGTGTATCGTTTCAGAGGCGACTTCTGGCACCGCAGTAGACATGTTTAGCTCCTATGGTTTTAGCTCGTGGCGAATTACCGACCGTTCGACAGTGAAAGCTATGTTTCTCTTACGCAACATACCATCTTTATCAGGATTAGTTTCATCAGTCAAGAAAAAAAAAACACGGAAGTTTTAATTCATATAGAAAACTTCACGAGGAAAATTATTTCACTATTTTCACGCTCTAATTGAGTAATATTGCGAGAAATATTAGTTAATTAGCTATTTTAGTAACCGTCTTTGTGAGTAAGAGCAATAATTTGACTAACGTTACAAAATTTGAGCTTTTGAGCCTTAGATGAACCTTGTCATAGTTTGGCCACTGATGTTTTAAAATTGCCTTACCAGAAAAAAATATTTTAAATTTCCATTCTCTTTCAGAATTCGAGACGAACGCTCTGACTTAGCCGGTGGTAAAGACAAACGTCACAAATACGACAGCCATCCAATAAAAGAAGCAACCTACTTCAACGGTAAACATTTGTGTTTATTTACACCTTAAAAACCACACGGTTTATTATTGTTCTTTCCAACCTACTTCAACGGCTAACGTTTGTGTTTATTTACACCTTAAAACCACACAGTTTATTATTGTTCATTCCAACCTACTTCAACGGTAAACGTTTGTGTTTATTTACACCTTCAAAACAACATAGTTTATTATTATTCATTCCAAACTACTTCAACGGTAAATGTATGTGTTTATTTACACCTTAAAAATTACATAGTTTATTATTGTTCACTTCCAGTGACCTGGGTGATACAAAAGTGCTGTTTCTTCATATCTGTAACTGTGTCTACTTCTTAATTAAAAGAGAAAAAAAAACATAGCTACAATGGGCTATTTGCTGTGTTCACTGCGTGGAATCGAACCCCAGATTTTAGCACTGTACGTTCGCAATCTGGGGGGGGGGCATGTATGTCTGAGCCTATGATGAAAATACGTTGAAACTCAACATACAAAATTCAATAAAAATTCACACAACGAAAGTATCTTTAGCTTGAGATGAACATTAAATAGATGGTAATGTTGTGGGAAGCTCAAATATACGGGAAAATCAGTCCATGTGTGTATGTATTATGTAACGATAAAAGCCTATCTTCTGTAATAAACACAGTGGCGTAATTATACTTTCATGGCACACATGGAGCACAATTACATTATTGGGACGTATTAATAAACTGGCAATAAACGCTTTATAGACATAATGAAGTGCTTGATATACCTCCATACTCAAGTATCACGGGTGGGGGGGGGAGGGTAACCACTGTTGTTAACTATTATGGGGACCTCTAAAGGCTTCATCCAGCCAATGATATAGATAGTTGCACCCGCGAATAAGCATGTTTAGGTAATTAACTTTAACGTTTAAATTTTACACATTAGTTACAAGTTCTCAGAGTGTCTCCATATTTACTGAGTACTAGCGGTTATCAAACCTAGCTAGTTCATAACCAAAAGTTAACCCTCCCAAATAGTGTAGTTAATTTTTGTTCAACTGTCTAACTAGGAGAGAGCAATGTTATAAAAACATATTGTTGGTGTGAGCTTGCTTTGTAGTCACTATGAGAAAAATCTATACATTGGATAGGTGAAATGAAGAAAAAGTGTCTTTGGCCACTATTCAATTTTTCACATTATATAGCTGTAATAGCAGATATAATAAATAGACTTAGCATTCCGAAAATTGTTTAATCTTGAAGTCTAAGATCTACACTTTGATCAACGTGTGTTATTGGGTTATACTAGTTTCGGAGAACTCCACTACTCATCAGTAACCCTGAACACAAGTTTACCAAAGAGAGATAAGCTGGACCTATATCACAGTGAAAAGTATCAAACATACTGTTGGTGTGAATGTGCTTTGTAGTCACTATGAGAAAAACCTAAACACTGGAAATTCTCCGAAACCAGTATAATCCAATAACACACGTTCATCAAAGTGTATATTGAACTGGACCTCCCTTGAACTTATACTGTGAAATTAAACAATTTTCGGAATACTAAGTTTATTGGTTAATGTTATCAAATCTTATATAGAATTTAAAAAAACAAAACAGCTGGGGTAAATATATTAAGTATTAGTGTTCATAATATAGTCTTAGTCTCAATAGTAGAAAATTAACAACTGTAGCGGAAATCATATCATAACCACTGGTTATTTCCCAGTCCTGAATTCATAAAGAACGTAATGTACCCACCTTCAAACTCTCTACGATTAGTATAATATAGTCTTAGTGTCAATAGTAGAAGATTAACAACTGTAGCGGAAATCATATCATAACCACTGGTTAGTTCCCAGTCCTGAATTCATAAAGAACGTAATGTACCCACCTTCAAACTCTCTACGATTAGTATAATATAGTCTTAGTGTCAATAGTAGAAGATTAACAACTGTAGCGGAAATCATATCATAACCACTGGTTATTTCCCAGTCCTGAATTCATAAAGAACGTAATGTACCCATCTTCAAACTCTCTACGATTAGTATAAATTCAAATCAAAGCGTTCTCTTTCGACTGTTGAAGTTACTAGTGCTAGTGGTTTTTATTTTAATTGTACAGAAATTTATCGGACCTATTAAGTATAAATGATAGATCTAGCTTATTCTACAGGTGGCGTCTTTCATTGCGAGTAGTAAGACGATTATTTAATAACAAAGCATCGTATCAAAATATTGTAGCATGCGGTTCGCTTTTGTTATTTTAAAAGCGTAGCACAAAGTTAAAAGTACGGAGCTATTTGTCTTGTCTCAGCTCAGTGGCTGAATTACTAGTTAACTTCGTGATAAACCACAGTAACCGGAACAACCTGTCAGAAGTCTTGATATTAGATTCATGTGTCCTCTTCAGTGTCACGGTGTCTTCTGGTAGGAAAAATGGTCAGCAAAGTCTACGTGATCCCCCGGAACTTCGAATCCCCTTAAGGACATCCCCCCCAGTAGCACAGCGGTATATCTGCGGACATACATCGCTAGAAACCGGGTTTCGATACCCGTGGTGGGCAGAGCATAGATAGCCCTTTGTGTGGCTTTCCGCTTAACTACAAACAACCAACCAACCCTAAAAGACACAGTTATTTAGCTTAAAGTGATTTTGAGAGGTGTTGAAATTAAACAAGAGTTTGATTAATCAACGACGGATGATTCTTCTTTTTATGTTTTGTTGTTGTCCATTTTCCCTGCTAGAAGACAACGTGAGACTAAAGAAGACACATTAATGTGTCGAAACTAATTTCTCTAATGTCAAGACTTGTGACAGATTATTCCGTTTACTGCGGTTTTTTACTAACTGCTACACACATAATGTGTTCTTTTTTATTATTACTGTACTGAACCTACCTTGCCACAAGTCTGTTAGTAAACGATGTTTGATATTCTGTGGCTTTTTAATTTACTCCTTTTTGTATGGACATAGTTTGTAATTTAAAACTTCGCAAAACTTGTGAATTTGAAAATTCTTTTGACAGGTGCTGCCACCAACGGCCACAGTCCAGCCCTAAACCTATCGCAGAACAGTAGCAGACTCGGAATTACAGGAACGAATCACGTAGGAGGTGAACACAGTGGAAGTGACCTAGCATATAATGATTTCTGTGACGATGATGATAATGATACAGACTTGGACGAAGACGACGAAAGAGAACAAGGTAAACTGATCAATCATACATAAGGAATTTAAAGTACAGTCAATTTCGAACTAGCAAACATGTAAAGTGTAACCTTTACCTGTTGTAAACAGAAACTTAACATTCTTCGCTCTGGATCAACTGATACACAGGAGACTAACTGATATGTAAAATATAACCTGTAACTGTTGAAAACAGAACATTACGTCCTTAGCTCTAAATCAACTGATACACAGGAGACTAACTGATATGTAAAATATAACCTGTAACTGTTGAAAACAGAACATTACGTCCTTAGCTCTAAATCAACTGATACACAGGAGACTAACTGATATGTAAGATATAACCTGTAACTGTTGAAAACAGAACATTACGTCCTTAGCTCTAAATCAACTGATACACAGGAGACTAACTGATAAATAAAATATAACCTGTACAGATTGATAAAAGAAAACTAAACGATCTGAATATCAGTTTTGGGTCAACTGGTTCACATCAGACATAAGATTCAATCTCTTTGGAAGGTATCTTTGCAAGTTTCAACTTTTTTTTTTGACAGATTAGCAAGTTTTTTATCATTACAGTTTATCCTTGTAAGGTTGGTCTTCGTGACATTTTGTTTTCCAAAAGTGTCACAGGTGTTCAATATGCTTTCGACCATCATCAAACAGCAAAATAAGTCTATCCGTAAATATACTACAAGCATCACCTGCTTTTGACAGTGTTCATTGACTTTCACACTGACACAAATACAAGTATCACCTGCTCTGGACGGTGTCCATTGACTTTTACACTGGCACGCATATTTACTCAAATCTCGTACTATTCAAAGAGAGGGAGAAAAACAAGAAAAATAAAAGTAATTCTTTTTTCAGAGAAAAGTGGCTTAGGTATGCAGAAATGTGGTGCTAAAACCTCTACTCTACCGGGTTAATACTTTCCTGAATAGAACCTACATTTTCAGTAATACCCCTAAGAATTCTTACAAGTTGTTTTTAAGATACCATTATTTTAAGTGTGGGGTTTTATAACCAGCCTGTATTTTGTCATTATAGTTGTAGCTGTTAAGTAGCACTATTTCTTACAGATAAAATGTAGCTATAGCTAACTATGATATTATCGTTTCCAGACTACAGTGATAGCGCTGACGTCAGCAGTACGGCAAACACGGACAGACTTGCATCCAGTCAAGGGGTGTCATTCCAGAATGACGCAACCATAACCATGGGCCAGGCAGTATTTTCCATGGAAACATTACTAAGAAACATTCAAGGACTTCTAAAAATTGCAGCAGATAACGCCAGACATCAAGAACGTCAGGTTAATTTAGAGAAAGGTCAGTAATAAAAAATGAATAATAAAATATTCAAATAAGAGGCTGATGTGCAATAAATCTTTATTATTAATCAATACATTAATTTTAATGAGTTTTTTTTAGCAACAAAATTGCGTAAAATATTTACTTTAGCCAATTTATGTTTGACAGTCTTTTCTGAGGGATTTTCCTTGAGCATTTTTACATTACGACAGCTTGTATTGTGAGCCGAGTTTGGCTCTGAAACTGAATCAATATGGAAGCAAATTTTGCGTCAAAAATCCAAAACAGTAAATAACAATTTATAGATATTCCACACAAAATTATGTTTTTGTTATGGCATGAGAAGCCTTTTAACTCTTTCACTGTTACGTCTATAGATAGATTATTCTTCCTGTACTAGGTTTATTTTTAGCTAAGCAATAAAAACAAGAAGACGTGTGTTTTAATATTTCATTTGTTACCAGAAACTTTAAACTGTTAAACTTTGTGAAGTTGAAGGGGAATGCCCTTTCTTCCTGGTGGCATAAAGTGCCAGTGCAAAGGTTAAGCGGCTGTATAAAAAAAATAACAAAGTATAGGTGCAAAACCTGACTATCGAGAGAAATACAGACTTCTTTTTTTTATTCTGAGAA